AAAAGATAGTCAGGTCCCGGAGTCAGGTGTCTAACGAAAGTCAAGAAAATATTTTAAATACTTGTGACTCATCGGTGAATTATTTTATTCGAAATAAAGTGAATATGTAATATTAACCATACAATAACATACAATATCATGCGTAATGTTAATTTTTTCTATAATAAACTCGCAGCGCACTTCGATCGCATTATTCACGTACATTTCGACTGAACTCTAATGACCAAAAAAAAACACAAAAAAACACGTCAATACAAGATTATGTGTGCAAGGTTAGATTTATAAAACGTACATGACCGCTTAACTCTGTTTTTTTTTTTAATAATCATGTCGCACGTGAAACACAGGAGAAGATTTTAGTTCGTCCATTTCTTGTTTACCGATCTTGAACTTCTTGTCTGGAATGCGATACAGGCAAAGAATAAACATTAATGATACCCACCGTTATCAAATCAACAAGAGGCTCGAATCAGGAAGGCTCGGCTATTTAAAACTTCGTAAATAACATTCTTTTCATGTGGTAGACTTTATTCAAGTGTAACAAACGTAAGTGAAATGTATGGACGAGTCATAATACTCGTACCTTCGAAAGTTACGACTTTTACTCTTGGAATTGGTGATAAATACATTCATAAAATACAACATTGTTTCACGCAACAACAATTCGTATACTTATGGATTTTTATATTAATAAAATACGTGGGCCGATAATATATGCTTAGTATTTCCATGCCAGCGATGCTCGTAACCTGCTCGATTTAAAAACAGCTATTTGAAACAAAGACTCATGGAATCACAAAGGAAACTGTTAAGTACGTATTTCACACCTTTCCTACGACCGCGGTTCCAACCGGTATCGGTGGCCACCGCGGTAGAGACCCCTAATTATAAGCAGTCCGTGGCTCTCCCCGGTGTACCGCGGAGAGCCGCGGTGATCACCGCGGTGAACCGCCTGTTTGATTTCCTACTCTTCCCTTACAGTGTGTGACGTTTTTGGGACTACTGTATTGCATGCGTCAAAATACATACTTTTGTAATGGCGTTATATGTCATCTGATCACCCCAGTGAATTGATATGTAAAAAGTAGTAATGTTGGCGTAACTGAAAATGGCGGAATAAACAAGAAGTTAAACTTGAAAGCTCTCTGGTTTCTTTGATGTTTCGTGTGTTCTTGAGTCAACACATCACACGGTGCTATGTATATTTTCTTTGTTTTTACAGTTTGTCAACGCCTCCTGGAACCAAAATAAAATTGACTGGCACAATATCTTTACAGAATGGTTTCCTTTTGTTAGACACGGAAAATACAACTGTACTTGGGGGGATTGTGGAAAAACTTGTCACCAAGTGGGAAGTTGCACGGGTAAGGATATTAAATAAATTGATTTGTGTTAGAACAAGTATAACATCTGGCTGGGTACTATGTAATGCATGTCACCTATGTATATCTGTTGCGGCATATTTTGCAATTTCAATTATAACCCTATATATACTGTGGAATCTAAGAAGTTGATATTAATTTTGAATGAATAGTTCATATCAAGATGCCAAAAACCGAAAGGTTTAGAACATATTTAATGAACTTCTTTGTGTAGGGACCGGTCAAACCCTCAGGGCTGCCATGTTTGTTTTTATCATTAGAATAAGCTTACACATAATATCGTTTCATATTTAAAATTCACCTTTCCGAATATGGTATAGTACAAATACTTAGTGCAATACCGCAAAATTACGGCATGCTGTAACTTATGGCGTTACGGTGACAGATGTATAATCATTATCATTCATTTTTTTCAGTTCAACTGAACTAAGCAAGGTGATGGAAATCAAGAGCACTTTCTCACTACAGATTTTATTTTGTTTTCTAACGTGCCATCTTGGAAGTACTGTGTAATCGTTATATATTTAGAATTTTCATTCCCTAATATAGTAGGATGCAGATACATTGTGCAAGACGACACAATTATGGCATGCTGGAACTTACGGTGACAGGTTTATAATAGTGTTATTAGGATTGTAATAAATTATGTTTACTTTGCTTTCAGAGTTTAGCACGATTTACAAGGGAGCTAGATGACAGGGAGGGAGCACCACCATGGATACCATTCGGTCAAAAAAGAGGTCCAGTGAGCAAACCAAATATTAGAGGTAAGTTGTGAGATATTCATATAGTGTTTGTCACGATTCCAAGAAAAAAAAATAACTTGCACAATTATAGAGTGTGATACAGCATGTTAAACAGATCGAACAAGAACACTGCATTTAAGACATTTTCAACCCTCAGTTGAATTAATTTGCTGTGCCTTTTCAGTATTTTGTTGTGTATCCCAAAGAAGTTTACTCCCTGAATGAAGTCCTTGTATGACTGTCGCTATTTTAGTTTTTATTTACCCTTTCGTTTATCTGAATTGAACATCTTCATGAAAATCAATGACATGGTGAAATGGTTAGTGACTTCGTTTGAAAACAAACTCATTATTTATTTCCAATTCTTGTTAATCTTAAATAAAATACATGATATCTACTGAAACCCTTTTAAACACAAAAGTCAACTATGGTCGCCATTCACAAAATTGCACACACAACTTTTGCCATTTTTTTTTAAAATAGTTTTGCCAATGTAAAGTTGTGTTGTTTGGTCCAAAATTAACAAACAACTCTGGAAAACTTAAAACATACATCATACCAGGAATTAGGCAGTTAAACTTTGGTAGTTTCTCTTTTTTGTATGTATTGATCTAAGCAACAATCAAAGTCACTATCTTTGTTAATTATGAGACCCACAACACCCACAATTCTTCCTTCTGTCACCTATTGTAAAATATTTTATTTTCACTGAAAGGATGATTCAGTGAAAGTAAAACCCAGCGAATGTACCTATATTTTATATTCAACTCATCAAAAATCTGTGAAAATAAGAAAAATGAATTCCAGCTAAAATAAAGCACGTCTTTTTAGCGAATTTAGCAAGAGAACTGATTCGCTAATTCAAGATGTCGCTAATGACTTTATTATTAATTCAAAATGGCCACCAAACAACATTTTTTTTCTCCATACACACTTTATGAACAACACAAAAAAAAACGTTCTGACATGATAGATACACTTTATTGAAAAGTAAATTAACACAAAAAAATAAACGTATTCATTGTGGTCATTATTTCAATGAAAATAAATCATTATATCACAATTCGCTAAAATTGCATGTCGCTTTTTCAACATGTTTTACAGTAATTTACAGTATCTGTACATGTAGTAATATTCATTTGATTGGATGTTGATATTGATATCGTGGTATTTATATTTAAATTTTTTTTATTATTTGCTTAGGTTTCAAATCGCTTGACAATAAAAAAGAACACAGTGAAACTGACAAACAGTTTGAGGAGACGCGGAAGGCAGCAATCAGGGAGATCACCAAGACTGCCATCACTGAGGGAAAAACAAAGCAGTTTGGTGGTGGCAGTGCCGCTGCACTCAACTTCCAGAAAGAGAAACAAAATCAGAGATATCAGACACCAAGCAGTGGTGGTGTAACAGGTGTGGCTGTGACCAATACGCCAAGTAACAGTAATGTCAGTAGTAATA